TTAAAGAGGAAAAATAGCATATTTTAAATGGCCATAACTCCTTAAATATCAACATTTCGGGGTTTTAGCCCATATTTGTATTGAGATATTTAAAGAGGAAAAATAGCATATTTTAAAATGGCCATAACTCCTTAAATATCAACATTTCGGGGTGTTTAACCCATTTTTGTGTTGAGATATTTAAAGAGGAAAATAGCATATTTTAAAATGGCCATAACTCCTTAAATATCAACATTTCGGGGTTTTTAGCCCATATTTGTGTTGAGATATTTAAAGAGGAAAAATAGCATATTTTAAAATGGCCATAACTCCTTAAATATCAACATTTCGGGGTTTTTAGCCCATATTTGTGTTGAGATATTTAAAGAGGAAAAATAGCATATTTTAAAATGGCCATAACTCCTTAAATATCAACATTTCGGGGTTTTTAGCCCATATTTGTGTTGAGATATTTAAAGAGGAAAAATAGCATATTTTAAATGGCCATAACTCCTTAAATATCAACATTTCGGGGTGTTTAACCCATTTTTGTGTTGAGATATTTAAAGAGGAAAAATAGCATATTTTAAAATGGCCATAACTCCTTAAATATCAACATTTCGGGGTTTTTAGCCCATATTTGTGTTGAGATATTTAAAGAGGAAAAATAGCATATTTTAAAATGGCCATAACTCCTTAAATATCAACATTTCGGGGTGTTTAACCCATTTTTGTGTTGAGATATTTAAAGAGGAAAAATAGCATATTTTAAAATGGCCATAACTCCTTAAATATCAACATTTCGGGGTGTTTAACCCATTTTTGTGTTGAGATATTTAAAGAGGAAAAATAGCATATTTTAAAATGGCCATAACTCCTTAAATATCAACATTTCGGGGTTTTTAGCCCATATTTGTGTTGAGATATTTAAAGAGGAAAAATAGCATATTTTAAAATGGCCATAACTCCTTAAATATCAACATTTCGGGGTTTTTAGCCCATATTTGTGTTGAGATATTTAAAGAGGAAAAATAGCATATTTTAAAATGGCCATAACTCCTTAAATATCAACATTTCGGGGTTTTTAGCCCATATTTGTGTTGAGATATTTAAAGAGGAAAAATAGCATATTTTAAAATGGCCATAACTCCTTAAATATCAACATTTCGGGGTGTTTAACCCATTTTTGTGTTGAGATATTTAAAGAGGAAAAATAGCATATTTTAAAATGGCCATAACTCCTTAAATATCAACATTTCGGGGTTTTTAGCCCATATTTGTGTTGAGATATTTAAAGAGGAAAAATAGCATATTTTAAAATGGCCATAACTCCTTAAATATCAACATTTCGGGGTTTTTAGCCCATATTTGTGTTGAGATATTTAAAGAGGAAAAATAGCATATTTTAAAATGGCCATAACTCCTTAAATATCAACATTTCGGGGTTTTAGCCCATATTTGTGTTGAGATATTTAAAGAGGAAAAATAGCATATTTTAAAATGGCCCATAACTCCTTAAATATCAACATTTCGGGGTTTTTAGCCCATATTTGTGTTGAGATATTTAAAGAGGAAAAATAGCATATTTTAAAATGGCCATAACTCCTTAAATATCAACATTTCGGGGTGTTTAACCCATTTTTGTGTTGAGATATTTAAAGAGGAAAAATAGCATATTTTAAAATGGCCATAACTCCTTAAATATCAACATTTCGGGGTTTTTAGCCCATATTTGTGTTGAGATATTTAAAGAGGAAAAATAGCATATTTTAAAATGGCCATAACTCCTTAAATATCAACATTTCGGGGTGTTTAACCAATTTTTGTGTTGAGATATTTAAAGAGGAAAAATAGCATATTTTAAAATGGCCATAACTCCTTAAATATCAACATTTCGGGGTGTTTAACCCATTTTTGTGTTGAGATATTTAAAGAGGAAAAATAGCATATTTTAAAATGGCCATAACTCCTTAAATATCAACATTTCGGGGTTTTTAGCCCATATTTGTGTTGAGATATTTAAAGAGGAAAAATAGCATATTTTAAAATGGCCATAACTCCTTAAATATCAACATTTCGGGGTTTTTAGCCCATATTTGTGTTGAGATATTTAAAGAGGAAAAATAGCATATTTTAAAATGGCCATAACTCCTTAAATATCAACATTTCGGGGTTTTTAGCCCATATTTGTGTTGAGATATTTAAAGAGGAAAATAGCATATTTTAAAATGGCCATAACTCCTTAAATATCAACATTTCGGGGTTTTTAGCCCATATTTGTGTTGAGATATTTAAAGAGGAAAAATAGCATATTTTAAAATGGCCATAACTCCTTAAATATCAACATTTCGGGGTGTTTAACCCATTTTTGTGTTGAGATATTTAAAGAGGAAAATAGCATATTTTAAAATGGCCATAACTCCTTAAATATCAACATTTCGGGGTTTTTAGCCCATATTTGTGTTGAGATATTTAAAGAGGAAAAATAGCATATTTTAAAATGGCCATAACTCCTTAAATATCAACATTTCGGGGTTTTTAGCCCATATTTGTGTTGAGATATTTAAAGAGGAAAAATAGCATATTTTAAAATGGCCATAACTCCTTAAATATCAACATTTCGGGGTTTTTAGCCCATATTTGTGTTGAGATATTTAAAGAGGAAAAATAGCATATTTTAAAATGGCCATAACTCCTTAAATATCAACATTTCGGGGTTTTTAACCCATTTTTGTGTTGAGATATTTAAAGAGGAAAAATAGCATATTTTAAAATGACCATAACTCCTTAAATATCAACATTTCGGAGTTTTTAACCCATTTTTGTGTTGAGATATTTAAAGAGGAAAAATAGCATATTTTAAAATGGCCATAACTCCTTAAATATCAACATTTCGGAGTTTTTAACCCATTTTTGTGTTGAGATATTTAAAGAGGAAAAATAGCATATTTTAAAATGGCCATAACTCCTTAAATATCAACATTTCGGAGTTTTTAACCCATTTTTGTGTTGAGATATTTAAAGAGGAAAAATAGCATATTTTAAAATGGCCATAACTCCTTAAATATCAACATTTCGGAGTTTGTAACCCATTTTTGTGTTGAGATACTTAAAGAGGAAAAATAGCATATTTTAAAATGGCCATAACTCCTTAAATATCAACATTTCGGAGTTTTTAACCCATTTTTGTGTTGAGATATTTAAAGAGGAAAAATAGCATATTTTAAAATGGCCATAACTCCTTAAATATCAACATTTCGGAGTTTGTAACCCATTTTTGTGTTGAGATACTTAAAGAGGAAAAATAGCATATTTTGAAATGGCCATAACTCCTTAAATATCAACATTTCGGAGTTTTTTACCCATTTTTGTGTTGAGATACTTAAAGAGGAAAAATAGCATATTTTAAAATGGCCATAACTCCTTAAATATCAACATTTCGGAGTTTTTAACCCATTTTTGTGTTGAGATATTTAAAGAGGAAAAATAGCATATTTTAAAATGGCCATAACTCCTTAAATATCAACATTTCGGGGTTTTTAGCCCATATTTGTGTTGAGATATTTAAAGAGGAAAAATAGCATATTTTAAAATGGCCATAACTCCTTAAATATCAACATTTCGGAGTTTTTAACCCATTTTTGTGTTGAGATATTTAAAGAGGAAAAATAGCATATTTTAAAATGGCCATAACTCCTTAAATATCAACATTTCGGAGTTTGTAACCCATTTTTGTGTTGAGATACTTAAAGAGGAAAAATAGCATATTTTGAAATGGCCATAACTCCTTAAATATCAACATTTCGGAGTTTTTTACCCATTTTTGTGTTGAGATACTTAAAGAGGAAAAATAGCATATTTTGAAATGGCCATAACTCCTTAAATATCAACATTTCGGAGTTTTTTACCCATTTTTGTGTTGAGATACTTAAAGAGGAAAAATAGCATATTTTAAAATGGCCATAACTCCTTAAATATCAACATTTCGGAGTTTTTAACCCATTTTTGTGTTGAGATATTTAAAGAGGAAAAATAGCATATTTTAAAATGGCCATAACTCCTTAAATATCAACATTTCGGGGTTTTTAGCCCATATTTGTGTTGAGATATTTAAAGAGGAAAAATAGCATATTTTAAAATGGCCATAACTCCTTAAATATCAACATTTCGGGATTTTTAACCCATTTTTGTGTTGAGATATTTAAAGAGGAAAAACAGCATATTTTAAAATGGCCATAACTCCTTAAATATCAACATTTCGGAGTTTGTAACCCATTTTTGTGTTGAGATACTTAAAGAGGAAAAATAGCATATTTTGAAATGGCCATAACTCCTTAAATATCAACATTTCGGAGTTTTTTACCCATTTTTGTGTTGAGATACTTAAAGAGGAAAAATAGCATATTTTAAAATGGCCATAACTCCTTAAATATCAACATTTCGGAGTTTTTAACCCATTTTTGTGTTGAGATATTTAAAGAGGAAAAATAGCATATTTTAAAATGGCCATAACTCCTTAAATATCAACATTTCGGGGGTTTTAACCTCTTTTTGTGTTGAGATATTTAAAGAGGAAAAATAGCATATTTTAAAATGGCCATAACTCCTTAAATATCAACATTTCGGGGTTTTTAACCCATATTTGTGTTGAGATATTTAAAGAGGAAAAATAGCATATTTTAAAATGGCCATAACTCCTTAAATATCAACATTTCGGGGTTTTTAGCCCATATTTGTGTTGAGATATTTAAAGGGGAAAAATATTGGATTTTTTTTTTTAATTTTGAAATATTTGTATGGCTCTGAAGAGTTCAAAATTTATATTATTTTTTGTTTTTGAAAGCAAACATGTCCAGGCTTTTGATAAGCTTCCAATTATTAGGCAATTACAAACAAATTCATAATAACATATTTGAGATTAATCCGAAAAACGCTGGGTCAGTGGGTTAACCTAGGCGATAAGTTAGATTCAATGTTGTTGTAGTTGTACGAAACTGTTTCGAAATAGATTTTCGAATTCATAACGCATTTTCATTTAATTAAGACTCCACCTCTCTTCCAAAAAATATATCAGTTTCCAGCAGAATGTGTAAGCAGCAATACCTAATTTTCGTGCTCCTGGCTTTGGTTGCATTGGCGGCCAGTCAGGGTTTCCGTAGCTTTGGAAATAGAAAACATCCCAGTGAGTAAAAAAATAGAGTATTTTTGAGCAATTTTTTTTTTTATGTGGATCCTCTTATTTTTAAGCTCTCGACGATCACTGCTACTGGGATCAGCATAAGCTGACAATAAAAGTCAATGAGACACTGCATCCAACAGTTCGTTATGAATGCTTCAAAGTATTCTGTCGCGAGGATTATGTTATCGATGTGACCTAGTAAGTATTTTAATGTTACAAAAAAAATATATTTAGTTTATTTATTACGAGATCTGGCGGAACAATAAATAGGTACTACCTTAACATGGGCGATTATCAAAACACTTAAGGTGAGAGCACATAAAAGACTTTTCTCTAACTCCGATTTTGCTCTACCTTTGCGAAACCTAATATTTGCATCAGTGCTACAGCAGGTGCGAAAATGAACAAAATCGGTGCACTCCGTCAAGTACTTACCCCACAAAGTGTCAAAATTTTGAATAATTACAACTCTTACAAAATGTGATGTAAGAACCCGATGGGCTTAAAATATCACACATCACAATATTTTTATTAAACCTAGGTCTGGTGTGAAAATGGAATACATCGGTTCACTCCTTCTGGTACCTCCCCCACAAAGGGTCAAAATTCCGAATATCTATGAAGCTCATAAAACACGAAATTACAATCCGATTCCATTCAGACTTGGTACAGCTCAATATTTCCATCAACACAAGATCTGCTGTGAAGATGGTAGAGATCGGACCACTCCTTCTGGTAGCTCCCCCACAAAGGGTGAAAGTTTTGAATAACCAAAACGATCATAAAATCCGTAATAAGCCTCCGGTTCTCTTCAAATGACACACATCACAATATATTTATTAGCCCAAGATCTGGTGGGAAGATAGGATATTTCGGTCCACTCCTTCTGGTACCTCCCCCACAAAGGGTCTAAATTCTGAATATCTATGAAGCTCATAAAACACGAAATTAACATCCGATTCCATTTGGACTTGGTACATCTCAATATTTCCAACAACACAAAACCTGTCATAAGGATGGTAGAGATCGGACCATTCCTTCTGGTAGCTCCCCCACAAAGGGTCAAAATTTTGAATAACTAAAACGATCATAAAATCCGATTTGAGCCTCCGGTTCTCTTCATATTTCACACATCCCATTATTTTTGCTAACACAAGATCTGCTGTGAAGATGGAATATATCGGTCCACTCCTTCTAGTACCTCTCCCACAAAGGATGAAATTTTTGAGTAACCAAAACGATCATAAAATCCGAAATAAGCATCTAGTTCTCTTCAAATTAGACACATCACAATATTTTCATTAACCCAGGGTGTGGTGTGAAGATGGAAGATATCGGTCCACTCCTTGTGGTACCTCCCACCACACAAAGGGTCAACACTCTGAATATCCATGAAGCTTATAATCATAACTCTAGGCTGGGGGTATAAATCTATCGGCAGAAGAATACAAGCAGATGCATCAACGCTTGGCAACATTGTTATGTCAAAATTTTTTTAAATGTTATGTTCAAAAATAAGTGAATTTTTACATGTTTTCTTATACGACCCCAGTCGGAGGTTATTATGAGATGCATTTTTCAATAATTTTTACAAATTTCGTTATTTTTTTATTCGAAAATTTCAATTCCAAAATTGGTTTGGCAGTTCATTGTCCCAGCAGCTGTTTTGATTTGACTACCTGTATTCTTCTACCATGGCGTTAACGTCGTATAACTCTGACATTTGTCACAGCTGATCATTAGATTAATTGTCAAAATGCTTATTGTGAATGAAATCACAATGATTTGTGATCAAATCCAAATGAGAAATTATCGAAAAAATAATTTTTTTTTATGTTATTTACAGCTGTCCCAGAGGTATGCCCACATGCGGTGTGGTGGATGTTACTCAACCCTTCCCGCGTTGCTGCACCAACTGTGATTATCAATTTTAGACAAACGAAATAAAAGGAGATCAAACAATTTTTTTTGGAGTTTTCTTAATTTAAATTCGAAATGACAGGAAATTGTCTGTGCAAGTCGACGCCTTCGTATGGCCCCCATATAACAGTACCTCCCGATATTCGGAATTTTGATGATTTTAGAGACATTATTCACCGGAATTGTTTAAAATTTGGTATTTGAAGTTCGAAATAAATACTACAGCCTATGACAAGAAATTGTCTGTGCCGGTCCACGTCTTCCTATAGCCCCCATTTAACGGTACCTCCCGATATTCGGTATTTTGATGATTTCAGCGACTTTATTGACCGGAGAAGATTCAAATTTAATATTTGAAGTTCGAAATAAATACTACAGCCCATGACAGAAAATTGTCTGTGCAAGTCGACGTCTTCGCATGGCCCCCATATAACAGTACCTCCCGATATTCGGAATTTTGATGATTTTAGCGACATTATTCACCGGAATTGTTTCAAATTTAATATTTGAAATTCAAAAGGGGTACTATAGCCTAGGATAGAAAATTGTTCCTACATATTCACGTCATCGTATAGCTCCCATATAACGGTACCTCCCTATATTCGGTATTTTGATGATTTTAGCGCCATTATTTACCGGAATTGTTTGAAATTTGGTATTTGAATTTAGTAATGGATAGTACAGCCTATGACAGAAAATTATCTGTGCAGGTCCAAGTCTTCGTATAGCCCCCATATAATGGTACCTCCCTATATTCTGTATTTTGATGATTTCAACGACATTATTCTCCGGAATTGTTCCAAAATTGGTACTTGAAGTTCGTAATAGATACTACAGCCTACGACAGGAAATTATCTATGCAGGTCCAGGTTTTGGAATAGCCCCCATTTAACGGTATCTCCCAATTTTCAGTATTTCGATGATTTTAGCGACATTATTCTCCGGAATTATTTCAAAATTGGTATTTGAAGTTCGTAATGGATACTACAGCCCATGACGGAAAATTGTCTGTGCAGGTCCACGTCTTCGTATGGCCCCCATAATACGGTACCTCCCGATATTCGGTATTTTGATGATTTAAACGACATTATTCACCGGAATTGTTTCAAATTTGGTATTTGAAGTTCGTAATGGATACTACAGCCTATGATAGAAAATTGCCTGTGCAGGTCCACGTTTTGGTATAGCCCCCATTTAACGGTATCTCCCAATTTTCAGTATTTCTATGATTTTAGCGACTTTATTCTCCGGAATTGTTTCAAATTTCGTATTTGAAGTTCGTAATGGATATTACAGCCTATGACAGAAAATTATCTGTGCAGGCCCTCGTCTTCATATAGCCCCCATATAAGTGTAGACCCCGATATTCGGAATTTTGATGATTTTAGCTACATTATTCACCGGAATTGTTTTAAATTTCGTATTTGAAGTTCGTAATGGATACTAGAGCCTATAACAAAAAATTGTCTGTGCAGGTCCTCGTCTTCGTAAAGCCCCCATATAACGATACCTCCTGATATTCGGTATTTTGATGATTTTAGCAAAATTATCCAGCGCAATTGTTTCAATTTTGGTATTTAAAGTTCGTAATGGATACTTCAGCCTACGACAGGAAATTGTCTGTGCAGGGCAACGTCTTCGTATAGCTCCCATATAACGGTATCTCCCGATTTTCGGTATTTTAATGATTTAAGCGACATTATTCTCCGGAATTGTTTCAAATTTTGTATATGAAGTTCGTAATGGATACTACAGCCTAAGACAGAAAATTGTCTGTGCAGGGCAACGTCTTCGTATAGCTCCCATATAACGGTATCTCCCGATTTTCGGTATTTTAATGATTTAAGCGACATTATTCTCCGGAATTGTTTCAAATTTTGTATATGAAGTTCGCAATGGGTACTACAGCCTACGACAGAAAATTTTGAGTTTTTGATAATTTGAAAATTGCCAAATTCGTTCCAAATGGTGGAGGGTATTCAAAGTTCGGCGCGGTTGAACTTACAGCTTTTTTACTTATTTTTCTTTGCTTTTAGCACACACCTTCGACAAATACTATTACCAATTCCAAGATTCTCTCACTATGCATAATTTTTTCAATGAGATTTTCACACGATTATGGGTTAATATCTAATTCCAACATCTCGCGCATATTTTCCCAGCGTCCACACCAAAATAAGGTGTGTTTTGTATTCTCGTATATGCCGTATGGTGTGTCGCATTTCCCCCATTTTATGGGTGTATTTACGCAAATATCCATGTCCCGAGAGCATTTGCGTCTAGAAGTAATTTTCCTTTACCCAACTTTCCTCTTTGTGCCATATCATCTGGGCGTCGTGAGTCAGTTTGTCCATCCATCTACCTTTTGTTCTGTTTATTCACCTGCGTTGTCCAAAAACTCAATTGTCTCTAATTTTATTGCAGATTCCACCTCCTTTTGGATTGAACTCCGTTTCCTCGTATATGCCGTATGGTGTGTCGCATTTCCCCCCATTTTATGGGTGTGAGCATTTGCGTCTAGAAGTAATTTTCCTTTACCCTACTTTCCTCTCTGTGCCATATAATCTGGGCGTCGTGAGTCAGTTTGTCCGTCCATCTACCTTTTGTGCTTTTTATCCACCTGCGTTGTCCAAAAACTCAATTGTCTCCAGTTTTATTGCAGATTCCACCTCCTTTTGGATTGAACTCCGTTTCCTCGTATATGCCGTATGGTGTGTCGCATTTCCCCACATTTTATGGGTGTATTTACGCAAATATCCATGTCCCGAGAGCATTTGCGTCTAGAAGTAATTTTCCTTTACCCTACTTTCCTTTTTGTGCAATATCATCTGGGCGTCGTGAGTCAGTTTGTCCATCCATCTACCTTCTGTGCGGTTTATCCACCTGCGTTGTCCAAAACTCTATGGTCTCTAATTTTATTGCAGATTCCACCTTCTTTTGGATTGAACTCCGTTTCCTCGAATATGCCGTATGGTGTGTCGCATTTCCCCCACTTTATGGGTGTATTTACTCAAAAATCCACGTCCCGAGAGCATTTGCGTCTAGAAGTAATTTTCCTTTACCCAACTTTCCATTTAGTGCCATATCATCTGGGCGTCGCGAATCAGTTTGTGCATCCAGCTGCCTTTTGTGCGGTTTATCCAGCTGCGTTGCCCAAAATTCAATTATCTTTAATTTTATTGCAGATTCCACCAACGTCTGCACGGAACTCTGCTGTCTCACTTTGAAGGCCTTTTGAAAAAGCTGCCACATCTAATATCTGTAAAAACCAAACTAATTGTAGGAATATCTGCCCCAACAACTGCATTTGAGGATGTACTCAAATTAATTAAGGCACAATCATCAAATGGTTGTCAAGAGTTTATTTTTGTTTCTATTAAAATACCTACCAAAAGCTAGTTACCTAACTGGGTAAATTGGTTTTGATAAGACTCGAGCCAATTGAACGAAAAAAAAAAAACAAACATTGAAAAAAAGAAAACAATGTCAAAGTCAAACTCGTACACTTCGTATAATTTAAAGTATTTGTCTTACAGAAAGATCCCTGTTTAACAAATCCCTCTCATCTACACTAGGTAGCCCCGCTATTCTCTTTTATTATAAAAACATGTTTACTTATCCCTAAACATTCTTGGCAGGGGCAAAAATACATATAAAATATAAAAAATACAAATACGAACATTTCTAAGAGTTCTAAGAGAATTGACATTTTAAGAGAAAAGAAGCTAGCACCCAAGTAAGGGTCTAAGTACATAAGAAGCTTGAAGTCATGGCTAGGCATATTTTATGACATTTCATAAAGGGATTACAGAGCCGCACTAAAATCCTGCCATCGTTTTCCATTATAATTTGACATTAATATGCCTAGCCATGACTTCAAGCTTGTTATGTACTTGCACCTTAACTCCTCCATCTTTCCAGCCGGTCTCTCTTTGTCTGTTGTCTTACACTTCCAGGTTGAAGCCGAATTTTTTGTGTTGTTTTTTTATTCTGTGTCCAAAGTTCTCATCCTTCTCTGGCAGCGCCTTCTTACCGACTTTGGACAGTTTATCGTTCCAGCGTTCATAATTTTCTGTCATTCCGGCTTGTATTTTACTCGCTGCACCAGTTCCACTAGGCATCTGCATCAGAACTTGACCGTCTTCCAGCATCTTATTATTCCAGCGACACAGATTGCTTTTCTTCGTAGTCTTCTCATCTCACTGACAAACAGCTTATCTTCGACTTCCAATCCAATCTCCCTGTGTCCCGCTTTCCAGGAAGCTGTTCATCTACCACCCAAGTAACTCCTCCATCTTTCCAGCCGGTCTTTCTTTGTCTGTTGTCTTACACTTCCAGGTTGAAGCCGAATTTTTTGTGTTGTTTTCTTTCTGTGACCAAAGTTCTCATCCTTCTCTGGCAGTGCCATCTTACCGACTTTGGACAGTTTATAGTTCCAGCATTCATAATTTTCTGTCACTCCGGCTTGTATTTTACTCGCTGTACCACTTCCACTAGGCAACTTCATCAGAACTTGACCGTCTTCCAGCATCTTATTATTCCAACGACACAGATTGCTTTTCTTCGTAGTCTTCTCATCTCACTGACAAACAGCTTATCTTCGAGTTCCAATCCAATCTCCCTGTGTCCCGCTTTCCAGGGAGATGATTCTTTTTGTGGTAATTGGGTCTTCCATATAAACCTCTTCAACCATCATATCTTCGTTGACATTAACCACTAATTTTGCAGCCAATTCATCAGCCTCGATTTTGGATGCTTTCTGCGATATGAGCAAATCTTCTTTAAGTTGCAATATATCAGCCTCCAGCAGAAATATCCTTCCATCTTTCTCTTCTCCAGCTTCTAGATTAGCAGCCAACCCGTCAAGTTCGGTTTCAGCTGCAAGTTTCGGTTTCTTTTTGCACAAGACAACTCATCACTAAGTTGTCTTATTATCGCCTTCAAGGCTAGCCCTTGCGTTCTGCCTCCTGCTTAGCCGCTAGTAATTTATCCTTAGTATCCTCGACAACACACACAGCATTTTCGACTTGCTTAATATTTTGTATGTACTCCTCTGCTTTTATCTACCATTTGTAGCCTATTTGAGCAAAAGCTAGGTCCAATTATTTGCCATTCTTCCAACAAAACTTTTGTTCAGAACTTCAAGATATGGTATGCTGGCGGATTTTTCCATCGAGATAGCTGCATAAATTCTCTATGGGGCTTATGTCTGGACGAGTCTGGGCTGGTGTGTCCATGACGTGGCGACAATTATATAGCAGCCATGACCACACTTTATAAGCCCTGGTTTTCGGATCATTGTCTTTAAAAAACAAAAATTAATAAACTTCGCCAAGGCCGTGGCAAACTTTTTTCAAAATCTTAAGCTGGGAATACATAAAGCGCTTATTTGGCTGGCTTCTTCGGAAATGAACAAAGGAGCCTAGGGTCAAAATCGAACTAAGTCAACCTAAAACTCCTTTGTTACTCTACGATGAAGCCAGCCGATGACTTAAGCCAGTCAAATAAGCGCTTTATGTATTCCCAGCTTTAAAGTACATAATCTGTTCCATAATACCCCTTAATAAAATACACCAGGTCCAGAGGCTGAAAATGAACGCCACATCATTACTGACCCACCAACGTGCTTCACTGTAGGCTTCATATATTTTTTTTTTTTTGCATGGAGCTCTTCATTTGCCTTCTTCCATACATACATAAGGTCTGCCATCTGAACCATTCTTCTTCCGATTTTCGGTATTTTGATGAATTTAGTGACATTATTCACCGGAATTGTTTCAAATTTGGCATTTGAAGTTCGCAATCGCCTACGACAGGAAGTTGTCTGTGCAGGTCCGACCGTGGCATCAGAATAAATGCCGAATATTAACGCGAAAATATTCTGGAGGGTGTATTAAAGCCTTGGGCATGCAAACATTTTGGCCGCAGCCCTTGGACATTCGAGCAGGACTTAGGAGGCGCCACCCAAGAATGGTTACAAAATGAGGTTCCTCGTTTCATTTCCAGCGCACACTGGCCATCAAAACCTCCGGATACCAATCCGTTGGACTCCGTTGTGTCTGCAGTATTTTGGAAAGTAAGGTTGGCACTAAAAACTACAAAAGTGTCGATAACCTCATGAAAGCGCTTCGACGGGAATGGGCCAAAAATAGCGCAGCGCAACATTCGGGCAGCGTGTGTCGTCGATTTCATTGGCCGTTTGAAGGCCATAATTCGTGCCAAATGTGTCCAATTCGAACAAATCTAAACTTATTCTAAAATGTGATGCTATCTCCGACATTTTTTGCTTTCATTCAATAAAATTTAAAGAAAAAAAATTAAAAATTATTTCGTTTGACTTTGTTGCAGTTTTGTTTTATCTCACCCTGTATTCACCCCTCATGTCCAAATGTAAGAGATTTTAATCTCAGAATTAGCATTTCAAATGGCGTTTTTTGCATCAAGTTTTAACGTCATATTTGCTATTTCAGAATGAGTCATTCATACACTGTTGTTGGGGTGAGAGAGGGACCAAAAAAAAAAAAATAACACCATTCATTGAAAGAAAAAAAAAAACTAAAATTATAGCTTAACTTGTCTGTTGGGATTCCAAAAGAGATTAGAGGCAATGAAAGACATTCGTTGTATGAATGACAAGTGAATGGAACTTGTCGATTTTCTAGGAAATGTCTAAATCAACATTCCCACTTTGTGCAGGTCAAATTTTCCTTCAATCCAAAGTCAAAATACAGTGGAGTGGAGTCCACTCTCCATTGAGCATTAGATCATTGACAAACGAAAATCCCTCTGATTATCAAAAGGTAACAAATAATAAACCACACTGATCATCTCTCCTCGCAAAGCTGTTCTCTCATATTTCTCTCTCTCTTTTTTCTAGTTTTTTTTTTGTCTAATTTTTGACATAATTGCATTCAAAGAATTTACACACACACACACATATCTATATGTTTTGTGGCCCTTGCTCTCCTGTAAATTTGCCTTAGAGAACTGAGAACTGAGTATTTGTGAGAGTGTAAAAAAAGAGAACTTTGCCCCCAAATTTCTCAACTCTTAAATGGCAATTTCCTATGGCTGACATATGAGCAAGAGTTTAAGATTCCTTCTTAGCTCCTTCCACTTGAACACATACAGCATGAGGAAAAGGCGCCTTCCAGGGTCACTCCCTTTTTGATAAGAACACAATTGATTAATTTTTACAGCATGAGGAAAAGTATTTCCAAACAAAGGCACCTTCCAGGGGCACTCCCTTTTTGATAAGAACACAACTGATTGCAACGATTTGTAGTCTCATAATTCGCCAGTTTCTATCGGAATCTTCATTGTTGCAGATAATCGGAAACAAAATGAAATCAATTCTTGTGATTGCTTTTATATTGAAAATATTAATCTTCGATAATGCAGTTTATGGCGCAGATACCAATTCCAGCAGCACCCCTCCCCAAGAGGAGTACTATGTGAGTTGAAGACAATAATAACATTTGAGTTATTGTTACGTCTTTTGAAACAAATTTTAGAATCCCCATGAAGATGAGCATCGTTTGATTTTGTGGAAGAACTTATTTCTAAAAGTGAATACCCTGTTGGTGGAAACGCAAAAGTTGAACAGCAATATTGCAGATATGAAAACCCAAATTGCTGATATGAAAACCCATATTGCCGATGTGAACCAAAAGTGGGTATTTGAGATAAAAAAACGAGAAAAAGAAGAGAGTAGCTAGACTTCAAATATCACTTTTTATTTCAGAATTGACGACTTAACAAAAATGTAGGTGTATTGATTTCCCCTGTCAATTCCAAAGGGGGAATATCATGGCCATATCACTGAACAATAAAACCTCTGCCAAGGCATTTATTGTGACCGAAGAATTGCCCCAAATCGGGCTATATATTCATATATTTAATATTTTGTGGTTTTTCTTTTTTTCAGCCAACAGCAACAAGGGATTGAAATAAAACAAATAATGAATCATTCCCAAGGGATGCTTACTAGTCTGAGCAAGTGGACCGTGGAAACCAGTAATGGGTATGTACAAAAATGTTTTCTCTATGTCATTGAATAAATGTTCCAACCTATTCTCGTTCATTTGGCCATAATGGCAGAGGCAAAAAAAAGGAGGATATCAAGCCCAATACCATTTCTGTTAATAAATAAAATGGGCCACTATTCCAAATTCTAGAGCTTAATTCTACAAATTCTTCTTCTCTACATAATTTATTCACAACTTTGGACCTTAAGGTGCAAGTGAGATAAAAAAAAAAATACTGCAACAAAGTCAAACGCCATAATTTAAATTTTTTTTTTAATTTTATTGAATGAAAACAACAATTTGTCGGAAATAGCATCAAATTTTAGAATAAGTGTAGATTTGTTGGATTTGGTCACCTTTGGCACGAATTATGGCCTTCAAACGGCCAATGAAACCATCACCCGCTGCCCGAATGTTGTTCTGCGGTATTTTGGCCCATTCCCGGCGAAGCGCTTGCTTGAGACGATCTACACTTTGGTATTTTTTAGTGCCAATCTTGCTTTCCAATATACTCCAGACACAACGGAGTCCAACGGTTTGGTATCCGGAGGTTTTTAGTGGCCATTGTGCGCTGGAAATGAAGCGAGGAACCACACTTTGTAACCATTTTTGGGTCCAGAGTCCTGTTGAAATGTCCAAGGTCTGCGGCCAAAATGTTTGCGTGCCCAAGGCTTTAATACACCCGAATATAGAATATTTTCGCGATAATATTCGGCAATTATTCTGATTCATTGGTCGATTAATACGAGCGAAGAGCGACCATCGGCTGTTATGGCAGCCCACACCATCACCATGGCGGGCGCTTGAGTTCTGGTGGCCGGCCAACCGAAGGTGCCCATTTTCAGCTGACCTCTTTGGCAGGAAAACACGATCATTTTGTTTGTTTACAAACTGCTGTCGACAACGAAAGTTTTCTCATTGGCAGTTCACCATTTTCGGGCAAGCGCAGCAACTGTTTAGCTCTTTTGAGTCTATTTTCTTTCTGTTTCTGTTGCGGTGTAAGTTCTTGCACTTTTTGGAATTTCAATGGCTTTACCCCGAGCTCATTTTTCAATATTTGCCGAATGGAATATTACGATATGTTTAGCTCACGAGCCACTTTTCGGCCACTGCGACGCGGGTTTCAATTTTCTTCTTCTTTTCGAACCATTTCTGCTGATGTTGCTGTTTTCTTCCGTCCACTTCCTTGACGTCGGGCTAAGCTACCAGTATCGCGGTAACGAGCGCACAAAATTATTTTATTCACATTTAAATGCTGGAGGGCTCTAACGATAGCCACTTGTGTTTTCCAGCCAAATATAAAGAAATCACCTTATCACGTTTGGATTCCATCACGAATAACTTCTGTTATGGAAAATTCTCACCAAAATGCTTTTGTACACTTGTAAACAATATAATGAGCTGTCACTGGAATAATTTTAACAGCTGTCGGACGAGTGGCTTAGAAATGAAAGCAGTCTAAAGTTGGTAGTTTCGGTTTTTTCATCTCACCCTGTAAAGAGCTTCTTTGACTGGCTTAAGTCTTCGGCTGGCTTTTTCTTCTTCTAAAAAAAACAAAGGAGTTTTAGGTTGACTTAGTTCGATTTCGACTCATAATTTGTACTTGTTCACCCTACGAGTCTTTGTTTTTTTTACGAAGAAGCCTTAATGTACTTGCACCTCAAGTTTTTTTTTAACTCAAGACCTCAATTTTATATAGACGAATGGAAGCCTGAGTATTTATAGCTTTTCTTAACATTTCTCCTCCGTTTCTGATGTATTTGGTCAATAGGCGTCGGTTTCGTCGAAATTAAACACATATTTTTATCCATTTTTTTCAACTGTCTACTGCATTCTATTTTTACTTTCGTAATATTTTTTTCTCTACTTAAACGTGATGTACATTACAGGTTATCTTCCTTGTCAAATTCCACATCGAATTCTCCGCAAAGTTGGACAACAATACTCAGGCGCATGGATGGCTCTGTTGATTTTTACCGTAATTGGACTGAATACAAAACGGGATTTGGAAATCGTCCGAATGGCGAATTTTTCATTGGTCTAGAAAAATTGCATCAATTGACCACATCCGCTGAGAACATAGAACTTAAAATAATTTTAAGAGATTGGGAAGGCGAAGAACGTTACGCTCTCTATGATGGCTTTCAAATTGCCGATGAAGGGCAAAACTATAAAATTACAATACTGGGTGATTATAGTGGGAATGCTGGAGATGCCATGGCATATCATAGAGGCCAACAATTCAGTACTAGGGACAAGGACAATGATAATGGCTATGTCAGTTGTGCTCAAAAGTGGAACGGCGCCTGGTGGTTTGATAAATGTTATGACAGGTGTGTAAATGTTATGTTTAATTTTTTTAGATACCCTCCAACCATGGTACAATAATGAGGTAGAAGAGGTTCATAAAACTACAATAATACAGCCCTGAAGCTATGCCCGCTTGCTGTAAAAACTATTCAAAATTATATGCCACGAATTGTTTCCATTTATTTGTTAATTTTCCTCATTTTTAAAATGAGTTAAAAAGCGTGGAAAATCGATGAAATACCTGGATTTTTCCTGAAAAAAAAAGTGATCTCCAGTGTTTAAACAATTTCAATTCCATAGCAAAACGGGTTAATATCTAGAATGCGCGTCCCGCCATTTACGTTTCTTCCAATCATTGTTTTTGAAAATATTCCGGTTTCTGGATATTTTAGAACGAAACATATAGAATATTGGCAGCACGGTCGGATACACTTAAGGTGGGAATACATAAAGCGCTTATTCGGCTGACTTAAGTCAACGGCTGGCTTCTTCGAAAATGGACAAACGGGGCCTAGGGAGAAAATCGAACTAAGTCGATCTAAAACTCCTTTGTTACTCTACGAAGAAGCCATTCGATGACTTAAGCCAGCCAAATATGTGCTTAATGTACTTCCACCTTTAGAAAAAAAAATTGTAATCAGCTGGTAGCTCTACCTCACCTTTTTATTGTACCATGCCCTCCACCATACATGGTATGGAGGGTATGTGCAGTTTTTCATTTCTCATCGAAATATTCATTTAAGATCCGATAAGGATATACATTCTTGATCCAAAACGATTTTGCCATTTCCGTCCGTCCGTCCGTCGGTTAGGCCTTTTGTTGCAATCACGCCAGAGTCCAAACGGTATGTAATTTCTGTCTTTTGTCAGCGTTTGGGTCAAGTTCGAAGTTATCTCCCCACATTTGGTATTTTGATGATAATTTTCGGTTCAGCTCCCAGTGGACTGGCTAAAAATTTGCTTCCACACACACACACACACACAACATAAATATAAGTCCAGGTTTTCGCATAGGTCCCATATAAAATAGTATATTCCGATATTTGGAATTTTGACAATTTTATGCCAACGTTTCTAGGGGAATAGCTATTTCCTGTGACAGACTATGTTTACCATGGGTTAATCTACCTTAAAGGGATTCATTTGAAGGATAAGTAATGGATATGGCAATCTTAATCCAAATCTCCATTTATGTGTAAACGTGCTGTTACTTTCCAAATGGTGGTGGAGGCATGGTACAAAAATATAGGTAGACGCATCGACACAGCTGCTGGGACAATGAACTGTCAAACCAATTTTGAAATGGAAAATTTTGAATGAAAAATTATTTAAATTTGTAAAAATTGTTGAAAGACGGGAATTATAATAACCTCCGAGTGACGTCGTATAAGAAAACATATAAAAATCTACTTATTTTTAAAAAAACTTTTTGACATATCAATGTTCCCAAGTGTTGATGCATCTACCTGTATTTTTCTACCATGGATGGAGGGTATTAAAAAGTTCGGTCCGGTCGAATTTTTTTTTTTCGTTTACCATGCTTATTATTAATCTTATTGATTTTTTAGTCATCTAACAGGTCCATATAAGCAAACGGAGGAAGCATTTAACATTGGTGTTGTCTGGTTAAACTGGAAAGGCTTTTACTATTCATTGAAATATGCCGAAATGTTGATACGTCCTAAAGTGAAGAATTAAACTGCGGCACAGTTATCTGAAGCATGTTTGTCCTCATTCATCAATTGTGTAGCTGGTTGTTTTGAAGGTTGTGTAAATATTTTCAAAGAACTACAAAAATATATATTTAAATGGAACGAAAAGCAACAGAAGTTTTTTATCTGAAATCAACAATAATCTCTCGAGCCCAAGCAAGGTGAGATGGGCTAACAGTAAATTATTTCTTCAAGGTCACTAGGTCACTTTGCTAAAATACTCACTTAAGTCTTACGTAACACTCTAGCTACGGTTTCCAAGAAGAACCAACCCCAACATTGCTCTTCATTTTGCGAAACAAACCGGTTATTTTTTTTTTCATGTCAATAACAGGTGTTGAAGATGAGTAGAATTGGCGGTAGGAATTGCTGACACATTTTTGAAAACTGAATTTATTTCCGTTTTCTTTTTTTCGTTGTAAACAATACATTGTTTTGTTTATTTCCAAAGTCAATAGCCTCTGAAAACTTGCCAACTATCAGGTAGGCCCACTTGAACGAGCAGAGATACCTCTTGTCTTATTTACCACAAATTAAAATTGTTAATTAATTGATAAAGCCTCGATGCAATTAAAAAAATAAAATAAAATAAAAAAAAATAAGTTGTAGTTTCAAATTTCCTGGGAAATTATAACGAGTAAAAAATTCCGGTGAATAATGTCGCTTAAAATTCTCTAAATACCGAATATCGGAAGATACCGTTATATGGCGGCTATACGAAAAAGCGGGCCGACATGGCCCATTTACGAGCCTAACCTGCCTATGGGGAAAATACACATGTGTGCAAAATGTTAGCCTTCGATCTCTATCTCGTTCGAAAGACAGCGTGTTTTGAACAGACAGACGGACATCGCTAAAGCGTCTTACAATTATACGCTGATCCAGAATATATATACATTGTAGGATCTATCATGAATATTTCGAGGAGTTACAAACGGAATGACAAAACTAGCTAATATACCCACCATAGAAGGGTGGAGGGTATAAAAACTTTGCTGGCTCTTTAGGTTTAGCCATTGAAACACGCCACGCCACGCCTCACGCCATCATAAAGGCTTTCAATTGTGTGGATGTTGGTGGCGGCAAAAGTAACGCCGTTGAAACTGGCATCACCTACTTTGATATAATACCATAATTGGCAACCATGTCACATGAAATAGCTCTTGCCATGGTACAACAAGAAAGGTAGTTTAATTTGAAATTTGGGGGGGGGGGGGGGGTGTTAAAGCAATTCCCCCTTTCCTTACGTCAAATAAAAATGTTTTTATACCCTCAGTAATATGGCTAAAAAGGGGATATATCATTTGATACGGCCAAAATGTGCCTCAGCCAAAGAACGCTTTGAGATCCTAGGCCTTGTTGGACAAAATCCGTTTCAGAAAATTTGGAGTCGATGTAGCGATGAACGTTCGTCCGTCAGTCTTTCTGGCTGTCTGCTGCGCATGATAACTCTCGAAGGGATATTTCGATTTGATCCAAACTTGGTACATCGTAATGTTATTGTCAAACTTACATTGAGTTCGGAGATGGACAATATCGGTCCACTCTTTATGGTACCTCCCCCACAAAATGTCAAGATTTTCAAAGAAAATAATTTACTGCACATAAAGAGAAAGAAAATTCCGATTTTGCTGCAACTTAACAAATCCTAATATTTGCATCAGTGCTACAGCAGGTGCGTAAATGGACTATATCGGTTCACTCCTTCAAGTAAACCTCCAACCCCTTCCCACCAAAAAAAAGTTAAAATTTTGAATATTTAATACACTTCTAAAATGTGATGTAAGAGTCCGATCGACTTTAAATTATACACATCACAATATTTTCATTAACCCAAGGTGTGGTTTGAAGATGGAAGATATCGGTCCACTCCTTCTGGTACCTGCCCCACATAAAACCTTCAAATTTTGCAACATACCAAAAAACCATTTCTGAGAATCGGTTAAATTTTTATCCTCAACCGATTTCGGGTTAATTGTGCGCCAAATGGCCAACATAGATATACGTAATTTCAATTCACTGCCAGTGTGACGTTTCTTGTCGCTTCGAATCCTACTTAAATTGCTGAAGTGGTTTCTGCATTTATGAGATAGCTGGAAATATGGCTTATGCATATAGCCTCTTTCGATTTTTGTTGTATCCAATCTGAACCGATCTTGACAAAATTTGGCAGAGGTATTTCTGGGCTGTATCTGATAACTGATACCAAATATCATTGTTGTCGAATGAATATTACGCATGTGAGGGACTGAAAACACACATATGGGAGCTATAGCTATATACGAGCCGATTATTCCAGATTCAATGTACTTGCTTCTAGATAGAATTCGATTGGATGTACCAAAATTCAGGTCATTTGGACTGATATTGGCCATTTGGTGGACAATTAACCCGAAATCGGTTGAAGATATATATGGAAGCTATATCCAAATCTGAACCGATTTTGAATTGAATTTAGCAGAGGTATTTCTGGACTGTATTTGATATCCGGTACCAAATATCTTTCTTGTGGAGTGCATATTACGCATGTGAGGGACTTCAACCCCAAATCGGATGAAACACATATATATGGGAGCTTTGGCTATATCTGAACTGATTTACTCCAAATTTGATAAATTTGATGTACTTGCTTCTAGACTGAATTCGGTCACATGTGCAAAATTCAGGTCATTTAGACTAATATTGGATATTTGGTGCACAATTAACCCGAAATCGGTTGAGGAGATATATGGGAGCTATGTCCAAACCTGAACTGACCCTTATAGAATTTGGTAGAGGTATTTCTGGGCTGTATTTGATAATTGGTACCAAATATCATGGTTGTCTATTGAAATCATATCTGCTGGATCCTCCTTTGACTTTCACTTGGCTATTCTTTCCAAAATATCGATCACTCTTGTTTTTATGAACTTATCCTTGTTTTTAGAGTTGGCAATCTATGCCAAGGAAATCATGGAATCACTCCACGCATAAGTTAGTGTTGCTGACTTCAATACTCCTTTAGTCTTCTGTAGTAGTTTAGTCAATAGATGTGTTGCACAAAGTTCCAGATTAGGTTTTACTGGGATTACCTTGCTTTTTGCAGCCACCATGGTCACCTGGGAATTTACCTTAAAGTATATCACTGTTGCATATACCTTTACGGAAGCATCTGCAATACCCATGTAACTGTCCAGTTTTGCCTTCCAATATTCCAAACCATCTTGGAATCCTTAAATTTTCTAGTGCAGGCAGACTGTATTTAAACTGCCTCCAATCTCCATTAAAATTCTCGTCCAATGGAACGTGCCATTCTTTTTGTCTTATCCATAATTGCTGTTATCGTGGCTGGTGTCAGCCGATCTATTCGTTTTGTCAACTTGTCTTCTTTTTTAATTGCATGCTGAATGTAAAGCAGTCGATCTGTGGATTCCATTGTAATCCCAATGTTTTCAAACATTCGACTTCTTCTATTCGCTGCACTTCATTTTCTTCATTCAATTTTACCGCTCTCCCGCTTACGTCGGGAGAGTTTGATATCCGTTTTCTTAAAAAATCTTCTTTTTCAACTTTAATCTGACGAAACATTTTCTCCACATCAGCTGAGATGACAAACTTACACAATCTCCACTTTTTTACTATTTCAAATACATCTTCTTGAAGCCATGCTCCCGCGTGAAGTATGTGATTCAGAGACTTCCCTTTTGAAGTTCTTAATGAAGCATCAAACACCACTCTAACTTTTGTGGCTAGACTTGTTTCACGTACCACTGCTTGATTCGGCATGTAATACAAAGCCTTCTTTCTTGGATCCACCTTTACCATTTGACCCATAGGTATGAGCTCGTCCATTGTTCCGCGTTATCTTCTAATATTTTTTCCAAGCTTATAAACCTCGCCATCGCACTTTGATATGAATCTCCTAAATCCTCTTCTTCAATCAATGGCAAACGCACGACAAATCTTCCTGAATTTTCGCTGCGTGTGGGTTCTTCATATAGTTTAAGACAGTATTCGTTTTCTATTCCCTCTATTTCCCAGAATCTCTCAATTGTTGTTGTTGCTGCCGATTTTGCTATGTTTAATCCAGGATTCATCACTATCGTTCCCAATAAAATCCATCCTAACTTCGTGTTTTGTCATCATGGCGAACTCTTTCTTCCAATATTCGCGAGTAAAGATCGGCGCCAATGACTAATTCGATTCTTTCCGGGCTGTTGAAATTCGAATCTGCTAAATGTACATTTCTCCATTTTTCCAAGTCATAATGAAACCTTCTGTCAGGATGTGCTGATGCAAGTGCTGGAAGGACTAGTGCTTCTGCTACAGTCTTAATGTTGCTCAAAAATCTGGGCCGTATATCCAGTGCAACTTTCGATTTCGCCACGCCAACTACGGTCTCTCCTAGGCCTTGTAACCTCACTTCAGTCTTCTTCCTAGGTAGCTATTGCTCAAAAATCTGGACCGTAGATCCAGTGCAACTTTCGATGTCGCCACGCCAACTACGGTCTCTCCTAGGCCTTGTAACCTCATTTCAGTCTTCTTCCTAGGTAGCTGGCACAGTTGAGCGACGTCCTCTGATATGGATATAATCTGTGATCCTTGGTCTCAGCGCTTTGACTGTTACAAATTCTCCATTTAGTGATTTTATACAAACTTGGGCCATTACTAGCAGAAAATTTGTTGTTGTATTGGTGTTCATTGCTTTCGCATGCCCTCTTCTCTTCAAATGCATCACTGTGATGTGATTCATTCCACACTTCTGGCATTTACTTTCATTGCAACATTTTTTATCATTGTTGTGGTTTAAGCATCTGAGGCAGACCTGTGCTGATCTTGCCCAGTTGTATCTTTCATTAGAAGATAACGCCGAAAATACCAGTATTCTATCCACTAATTTAGTGAATAAAATCCTCCCGTTACCATATCTTTTTTTCCAGTAATTCCCATGCTGCCTCATAATTTGCCTCGGTCGCTTGAAGATGTTGCACCAACCGAAGCGCCTCTTCTTTTAGGTTTGTCTTGAGGTAGTACAGTTTTTGTACTTTTGGTAATTTGGAGTTTTTATCTATCATCTTTTTAAATAAATTGTAAAATGAGCTCCACTCCTCCACCTGACCACTAAAGGATGGTATTTG